GTGAGTTTTAAATAATTATAGGGCAATTTATTTATGATAATGACAAGTGACAAAATATATTCTTTTAAAATAAATATTCAAGTAGTTAGCTAGTTACTTTGTGAATAATAATAATGATATATAGTTAAACATATTATTTGTTATAACAGGATCACTTGTAGCAAGTGGAATAACTTTTATTTAACTATTTATATCAAAATACAATAAACTTTGATTACTTTCTAAATAGATAATTTTTAAATTTAGTTGAATCAAAGAGAACAAATTATGTTTATGCCTTAAGACATTTATATGATATATAATAAGTGAATACTATATGTTCATCTCATTCAACTCTAATTTCATTTTGATAACAATAACCAACTATATACATTCTAACAGCATCTTCTATATTGGCAGACTTTTGATAATAGAAGAATATCCTAGATTTATCTTGCTCAACTCCAATCCTATTTAGATAACAATAACCAACTGTATACATTCTAACAGTATCTCCTATATTAGCAGACTTTTGATAATGAATGAATGTGTTTAGTTCGTCTTTTTTAACTCCAATTCTAGTTTAATAACAATAACTGACCTAGTAATGTACTATTTATATGATACCCAAATTTTTTTCACATATAGTACGTACAGTATATATAGTATATATAGTTGTTTCTAACAATTTAATTGGTTGGGAGAATTCAACCCAAAGTGATCGACAAAAATTTTCATGTATAGTATATTGTGGATTAAAGAATGTGATATTGGAAATTATTATATGAAGAGTTTATTCTCATTATCTGAGATTATTATTATTGAACTCTCGATGAGCTGAGTTCTCTCTTTATTGAAGAAAAAATGCAGCACTTATATACCTTACAAGACTATAGTAAATACATTTGGAACTTAATTGATATTGTTGAAATATCAATTAAATCAAATTTTCCTCAAATAGTAATTTTAATTACTATCTGTCTTAAATTGATTTAATTCAATAAATTAGATAAATCCAACATTTCAACATATTAATTTTACTAAATATGGGTAAAGATTGATACTAGTCTACTGTGAACTTCTAATTATACATTTTTGTACTATAAACAGGCTTAAACAAGAATCTATACTAAAAATAAGATATTGTATCATATTGGAGTGCAGTATTTCCAGAGAGTCAAATTAGCTCTTTACAATGTACAGTATATATAGTACTATATGCAGCACATTACTAAACCAACCATATATGTTTTATTGATATTATTCATCTTAGCAGACTTCTGAAAATAAATGAATGCCTCACGTTTATCTTTTTCAACTCCTATTCCTTCATAATAGCAATACCCAATGTTATATGTTCCTTTAGTATTTCCCATTTCAGCAGATTTTTTATAATACATTAATGCTTTAGTTTCATCTTTTTAACACTAATTCTGTTTCTATAACAATATCCAACAGTGAAAGTTCTAGTTACATAGCCCATATCAGAAGATTTTTGATAATTATCGAATGCTTTATGATCATCTTTTTCAACTACAATACTGTAGAAATAGTAGTCGCCAAGATCAAACATTTCATCAGCAATAAAGTCAGAGTATAAAATATAGTAAAAACTATTCACTAACATTTTTTTTTTGGTATAAAAAAAAACAGAAATGAGAGTCATTCAACATGTTATAACTATTACTTAAATTCTAATGTGCTACTGGTTTTATTAGGTATTTTAATTTACGTGCTTTCACGTTCTTTTATGACTCAATGAACATTATTTTAAAAGATATTTAATGCACATATTTATAACCTGGTTTTAGTAAATTATACTTTTTTCAAACAGTTTTGTAAATAAAACTAGTATTTAATTTGTGTATTTAAAGTCTTACTGTAACAGTAACAATATAGTGCTTATCTTGCCTTAAATATTAATTTATACTATACTTATATATTTTATTTTAATAGCATTAGTATTCTACTTTAACAAATAAATTTTATGATATGATATTAGAATATATACAGTATAAAAAAAACTATAGTTAGATACGGGTTTACCAAACTATGGATTCAATATTTGGTATTTGATTTTATAATTAAAAATATATTAACATTAACATTTAGCATAGATTTATAGTATTATATTAGTTATAATACATATCAACCTGAATTTCTATCTAAAGCATCGATAGATTATTTATATAAATAGATCAAAAACAGTGTATAATTTTAAAAATCAAAAAAAAAGAAAAAAAAATTATTCTAAATAGTTATAACAAAAATGTCTTGTAAATATTTGTGTTTTATAAATCACTCTATCTCAGTCAATATTTTTTACAAATTATTAACTTAAGAATTCAATTTAGCTCAACAATACGAAGTTTTTGAATAGGGTAATGAACCAATAAATCTATGTATACTATAGAACCAAGAGATCTAAGCTTGTGACAATAATTTTTGTGATCTGTATTCTGCAGGTTATTGTTCAAAGAATAGTCATATCATATGGGGTTGGATTAGGAATTGGAATTGGAATATTGTTCAGTATGAGACTTATAAGTGGTGTTCATATTGTAGCAAAAATATACATAATACGCAAAGCTATAGGTTTAAGCTAGAGGTAGATCGACAAATTAATTCTTTAAAATATAAATGATGTTCTAGTAGATTTAAACGTATTAATCATTATAAGAGATATAAATGTTCTTATGAATAGAATCATAATTGGTGGAAGTCATAATATAAGCTATCTAATTTGCTTTCTAATAATTATGTATACTTTTTTTATACTGTATATAATTGATGCTATGTTTTTATACTGATAGAATTCAGTGTGAGCTTTTTAAGTAAATATTGATATTACACGTTAAAATATAGTTCTTTTAATTTTCTTTTTTGTTATGAAATTGGCTGTGTTTTTTGAACATTTTAATTAAAATTTTCTCGTAAAAAAGTCTATTAAATAAATCTACTTCAAGTAATACTTAGTTAAATATTTAATGAATATCTGAATTGTCTTATCTTCAAGATTTTATATGTTACTAATAGTACAGTATAAAATTTTATATTATGAAGTCACTTAAATATATTTAATACTAATAACATATATAATAGTACTTCCCAGAATATGCTTTAAATTTGAAATATGTTTCTTTTTTTTGACATGCAGAGAAAGGTGTAGCAAGTTTATTATTCGTTTGTAAAGAATTTATTGCCAATACAGTAGCTTTTACTAAATAAAAAATAAACTATTAGATAAAGCTTAAACACAATCTAATTTAATTAAGAATATTTTAAGTCAAAATCTATGGCATGCCTGATAACTTATTCAGCCCCAATTCAGAGTCTCATGTGAAAATTCATTAAAATTTGCTAGTAATGCTACAATTTGAACCTTTATAGTTATACTTTTAATTTTTTAAACATAATAAAATTGAGATAATATAAATAAATTATTTCATTTATTCACATGAATATTGTTAACTAAATACGAGTTTTCTTTATTAAACTAAATTATATGAAACGTGCTAAATAGTTTCATTACAAGTTTGACAGAATATTTATAATTCTATATGATAAAGTTGTCCTTATCTTTCCATTTCAAAATTAGGAAATATAATTTTTACTTTTTCAGTAGCTTTCTCAATTTGTTCAAGAATAACCAGGTTTGTCATTGAGTTTTCATTTGCTAAATAACTACTAATTGTATCTAGCTCTTGATTTTGATAATATTTTTTTGTCAGCTTTGAAAGAGCTTTTAGATAGAGTGAACTGTTAATGTTAAAATTTCTCTAAGTAGCTAAATATACAGTATAAGCATTTTTTTTGACTAAAATACCTTCTTAATTTAATTTTTTCAAATAGGTAATTTCTGTGACTAAAGAAGCATTTTTCCTATTTAAATCATTTTTACGATTAGTAGCTTCTTGATTTAATATATTTATTTTAAAAGAATATATTTTGTCACTTGTCATTATCATAAATAAATTGCCCTATAATTATTTAAAACTCACATGTCACATATATATTTCAGCATTGGTAGATAAAAACTAAATTAAACTCCTATAGCCATGAGGGCTGTAGGAGTTCAAAATTGAGTAAAAAAATTAAAACTGGTTCTGAATAGCATTAAATTTAAATTTTTTAAAATTGATAATTAAAATACATAAAAATATATTCATATCGACTTTTATCTAAATAAATAAAGGGTGATTCTTCATCACTAAATTTATGTGAGAAATTTGGTGATTCTTCATTACTAAATTTATGTGAGAAAATGGTCACTAAGTTTATGTGAGAAAATATTTCAGTTTGACAAAAGTGATGAATTATTATGTGAAAAATAAGAATTTACTATATTGATTATATAGTAAATATTTATTCGTCATATGATAATCTGTCACACTATAACTACGTATAAAGCACGAATACTTTTCATAATTGTGACAAATTATCATGTAATGAATAAACATTTACTATTTAATCAACATAGAAAATTTTTATTCGTCACATGATAACTGATCATACCCTTTTTGGTAAAGCATTTAAAAAATGCTGAAAAACCTAAAAATGGCAAAAAAAAATTTTAATTGCTAATTCTAAATTTGGATTTAATTTAAGCCAAATTTCGATTAATAAATTAATTAATTAATTATCATTACTGCATTAATTAATTAATTAATTAATTATCATTACATGATAATTTGATAATATTATGCCATAATGATAATTAATTAATGCCGTAATGATAATTAATTAATTAATTATTACACGAATTTCTATAGTATATCATTATGTAAAACAATTTTAAATGATATATATTATTATACAATATAAGGGGTTAATTAAATATTTAATTATATACTAATTTGATCTTATTTAATATAAAAAAATTTTATTATAAAAATTTTTTAAAATCGTTTTTTTTTTTACAAAAAAAAAAAAAAATTTTTTTTTAAAAATTTTTAATTTTTAAAATTATTAAAATATAAAACTTTTTTTAAATTTTTAATTGTTTTTATTATAAATTTAACAAGTATTAATTATTTTATTTTTAATTTTTTTATTTGTTTTTATTATAAATTTAACAAGTATTAATTATTTTATTTTAATTTTTTTTATTGAGATAGATAAAATGCCTCCTAGAAAAACAACACCTCCTGAGATAGCAGATAAATATAAACCTGTATCTGGTGAATCTAAAGAAGATACAAAAAGAAGAGATGATGCAAAAAGAGCAGCTAAATCATATTATTATAAAAAACAAAAAGAAGAAACTTCTCAAGCTACTACTTCAACATCTATAACTGGTCCTGCAACAAGAACCAGATCACAAGTTGCACCACCTTCTTCAAGAACAAGATTCAAAACAACTACTGCTGCAACATTAAGAAAACAAAAATTAAGAGCAGCAATGAATAAAAAAAAAATTAAAGAAGATAATGAAAAAGCTAAAGAGAGAATGAAAAAAAAATATGAAGAAAAAAAAAAAAAAGAATTTGAACAATTTTATAAATTAGGACATTGTAGTTTAGATAATTATATAGAGGAAAGAATGGATGAATTAGAAGATGATATAGAGAATGGAAGGCATAGATTAGAGGAAATGAACATTATTTGTAAATATTGTTTTGCTTTAAAATGGAAAGATAAGGACAACTTTATCATATAGAATTATAAATATTCTGTCAAACTTGTAATGAAACTATTTAGCAC